TGATTTCCGTACTGCTATACCTTGTTTTTTCAATATATTGATGAACATATATATAACTCTTTGAATTACAAGAAGTTACAGCAGAATTGCAATTGTTGTACAGTTTAGAGCAGGCGACGTTCAATGTTTTTGCTAAATATTATATAAATAACACATGGGTTTGTGGGTAACAGTAAAAATATCATCCCGAGGAAAATACTGTTAGCCGAGGCGTAGTCGAGGGTAACAGTAGTTTTACGAGGGATGATATTTTTACTGTTACACACAAACCCATGTGTTATTTATTTTATTACCCCGAACAAATACTGTGATGATCTGAATTTGTCAACTAAATCTAACTGTAGCAAAAATAAACCAAGACTAGCAATAACTAAACTGTCATTACCTTGCAATTTTTAAGTGTACTGTAGGTCTAATTGAGAAGCTGTTTTTCTTTTATTCTTTAAGCAAGTGATGATATTTACCAGTCATAAACATACAATAAGCTGTGTTTTATTTAGAAATCATAACACTAACCATTTTATAAGGTTATGATCTGTGAAATCTGATTCTTGTGTATCCAGAATATTCTTCGCATGGTTTTTAACAAAGTGCATTTACAAAATAACGATGATATCCTAGAGATGTCTGTCTGTAACGTTTTACTAGTTAAAATTGCTAAATAATCCTTTGTTGCATGCTTTAATCGTCTGCATATTCCAGTTTGACACAAAATTATTCACATTACAATTTCTTCCGTTGAAAACGGATGTTTACTTTTTGACTATTCAACAAAAAGATATTTTATACGCGAAAAGAACTCTAGGGTGCAAAGAACTAAATTTTATGAGAGTCATAGTTACTTTGGTGATGCCCTAGGCCCTATCGTCGAAAATAACAATGAATCGAGAGAAAAATGGCGGCCACTTTATTTCATTTTATTGAGACAATAGACCACGTGACCAGATTTAATACTGTTAAAAAATACTGTTACCTATGTAACAGTACAAAATTATTAGTCACGTGGTACACTTGCATTAACAGTAGGAATAACTCCCAGAGGCCTATGGGAAATTAACATTACGAAAAAAGCTAGGGGTAATAACATGTAGTCCCTTCATAAACAGTTTACAGAAATATTCTAAGATAGTCTTAAGATGTGCCTAACAGTACTCACAGAGTGGGATACGACGCATTGGGTTATCTCTCTCCTAGAGGGAATGATACTTGATATTCTCTAGAGGGCAATGTGGTGTCAAATTGTACTTTTGCATATTATTCTAAGTAGTAAAATTTATGTCTCCCTTCGTGGAAGGGAAGGGACACTTAGTATTTTATGTTGAGTTCTCCAAATCAATTCTTCATATTTTATATATTTTGGAACTATTACTAATTCATGTTACTTATACACAATTGTATTTTATACTGCTAAGAATTTGATTTTAAATCCCCGTCAGCAATAAAATGACAATTTTTACTACATTGCTATATGAATAAATGATGTCAATACCATGAAAAATTCAATAAAATCAAACAATATGCTTTATTTATGTTGTATGTATTTAGATTTACAGTTTCTGCTTGATAAAAGGTATGACAGAAGTATGTAGTAAATCCATTGCTATAATAAGTAAATAGTTTGAAAAATGATGACTTGATTGCCTAAAGAATAAAATTATCCAATCACATTGAAGCTTTCTATTATCTTAATAACCATTATTTATATTTAGCCTTTACTATATTTATGTTTTGTTAAAAGGGTATATGGGCGATTTGAACTTTGACAGAGCTAATATTGTTTAAAAAGATGATAACGTCCGTGTTCGCTTCTCGGAAACAAATGCTCCCAATTTAACATTTTGGTTGGCCTAATACGGTGGCTGTTTTGAATTATTCAGAGTTACGCTCTTCACTCCGACCCTAGTCACCTTGCCATTTGCTATTTTTCCGTTCTCTATTCGTTGCCACGCTGAGATTCTTGTAGCTGAATATTGAGGGTGCTATACCTTGTTTTTTATTCAATATATTGATGAACATAAACATGTATATAACTCTTTGAATTACAAGAAGTCACTTGTGAATAGTACAGCCGAATTGCAATTGTTGTACAGTTTAGAGCAGGCGACGTTCAATTTTTCAATTTGTTTATATAAAATTATTTCAGTTTTTAGCGTTATTGTCTGAAAATGTACCAAAAAGTAATATAATGGAAAATCATTTAGTTGAATTGAACAAAACATGAACGACAATATATTATCTATGTATAAACATAGACAAATGACTTTAGTGAAAGAACACTGAAAATATCAAAGAACTAAGAGAAAGTTACTTTCTAATCACAGTGCCTATCGAGGACATGAAATTGTTATATGTATCACCTTTACTTATGTCAAATAATGCATCAGAAACAAATAAATTTTGACTTCTTTAGAAAGAGCAAACATGAATTACATAATGTTTAAATAATTGTTTTCGGAAAATGTTCGATGTTTCTAACCTGAAAAGTAGGAATAAATGTGAAATAATTCTTCGAAAAGTATCAAAATGTAAGCAAAGTAGTATTCTATACAAAATACAAATTCACTGTAAGTGAACTTTATATAATGAGTCTATAATATGATAAATATCTGTCTCAGAGACAAACGTCATCGATAAGAACGGAAGCAGAAAATAATCACAGCGTTTCCAGCGTGTGGTAATTTGTCAAATACATTTCTCCTTTACTTGCCATGACATGAATCAGAAAGGGTAAAAATTATTCTTTTCCATTCTAGGGCTAACAGCACTTTTATTAGTTTATACAACAACACAGAAAAGCTTTGTAACAATTATCAAAATGTCACGATTTATTAACATAACGTCTTATAGCTATATGTTTTCCGGTATTTAGATTTGTTTTCATTTCCTTATTGCTTTTAGGGAACAATCTAGTCTTTCATTTAACCAAATATGTTTAATTCTTTTCGAAATAAATAGATCTAACTTGTTAATATTCAATGGTTTCAGGTATTTGAAATACAAACTGAAATCTACCAGCCTGTAATTAAGAATATGTTGAACTCTCTGATTATTAAATAACTGTTGCACTGAAAAAATAAGCTAAGAGCAGTTCATTTCAATTTTCTGTAGTTATTGTTTATAGTATACAAGTATATCATTTATCTGATACCTTTCTTCGCATAACAAAGCTGTTTGTAATAGAAATGTTTGAACGAGATAAATGTGACAAGAATCTTAAGTGTGCTCAGTTCAAGACGGAAAGTGTATGCAGGCATTTCTTAATGTAAATGTTTTACAAGAACTGACTGATTATGTCTAGCTTGTCATTAAAACTTTAACTTAAAAAACAAATAAAATGTTTTTATTAAAAAAGTAATACAAAATATTTATACTATTCACTACCTTTATTTCATATCAAGAGTTCATTTTTTTCCCATTCTTTCAATATATTACTTTTTGTGTCAAAGCAGTATAGAAATTCATATCACGTTGAGATGTTAATATATATTTGTTTCATTTTCGCTCCGCTCGTTTATATAAAACGTATTGTATTTTAATTACATGCTGATTATACGGTCAATGAACACAATATATTAATCTTCGATAGAATTTCGGTAAGTTCCGTGAGATGAATGTAGTAAGAAATTATTTGATTTAATTTGTGTCTATGAAATAATAATTCTATACGTTACAACGCACTATGGTAAACTATAGGATTTATAATTTTTAAATATCCTACGTGTTGAAAGATCGAATCTCGTATGTCCATGTCTTTTTCTTATTTATATTTTCAACATTATTGGAGCTATGGTTGTTTTTTTATATTGTTCGTTTTGTTTTTATATGCTTTGCACTTATTTTGGTAAAGAACATACTCTTTTAAATAACATGGTTTAAGAATTAATATTTAAAACTCATTCAGATTGAAATCAATAAATGTCATTTCAATGCCGTTAAACACAATACAAATCGAGATGCAATAATTTATAATTCGCAGAAGGATTTAAAATTAAGCATTTGCCTAATGAGCTATATCAATTAACAGATTTTGTTCTGGCTTCAGCAAGGTTAACCATAATGTAACCAAGCTGTTAAAAATGTACGATACTTTTAGAAAATATTATAAACCATTTCTGTTTTAAAACTGTCTGTACATTTTCAAAATGAAGGAAATGGAAAGTAATATAGGATAATTGACCATTGTTCGTAGATTTCGTGCTGTTAAAATAACATCAGGGTACGGTAACAAATAAGCACGTAATTGAAATATTCGTTTTCATTATGCTTTATTGCAGTATCATTGTCATATTTGGAAAGAAGATATTGTCATTACTTGTTCGACTTTAAATAAGATAAAACGGATATAAAAAGCAATGTCGTGTAACTATTAACATTTATTTATGGTGCTTACAAATACAATACAATTATTCTGTTTTACTATTAAATCCCGCAAAGATTTCAAATATTAAAAACCAAATTGCTAATTTAAAAGTTATTGACTTTGAAATAAAACATAAAAAGATTTTGTTACATCAAATATGTGTCTAATCCACATTCATATCCATCATAAAATAATATAAAATAGCCAAAAACGTGTCTATCTGTGATCGATATTCAATTTATATTCAAAAATCCTTTAACTCGAATATCGAGCTCGCCAGCTCTGACTTCGACATTCAAATAAACACAAGACGAATACAGTGCAAGTGCCTTCTTTAATATGTAAACAAAGTTATAATAGAATAATACATTTATTACTTGGTTAAAACCGATAATTTATGTATTTATATTGATATATTTACTTTATACAAAAGTTTAAGAATAACAACATAATCATATTAATTTTTTGAATTCATTTCAACACGTATACAATGTATTTGGTGAAATCTTTAATGGAAATAACAATGATGTACACATACGTATAAACAATCTATATATCACGCTGGTTCATGAATATATCTTACAATGTAGTCCCTTTTTCTATATATAGAAATATCTTATCTTTATAAAAGCTTGCTGAACTGAACTCTATCAGTTTCAGTCTTACATAAAGATATTTGAATATCATGGATACTAAAAAACTATTGTTCAAAACCTTGTGTTTGATTTTATTCTTGAGTGATGGTTTGGTGGCGACTGGGCCAATTAAAATAGATAAACCTGACAAGGAGAAGGGAGAAATAGGATTAAAAGATGAGAATGATATTATGCGCCGTCTTAAACTTCTTGAGACAAGTCAAGATGATATCAAAGAAGAAAACCAAAAACTGAAAGATGAAAACAGAAAACTTCGAGAAGACTTAGACAATTTAAGATCAGATATTTCATCAGAGAAAACACGGACAGACAGTTACTTTACATACCTACAGTCACAAATAAACGATCAACGTGATAAGAACAAACATCTTGAGAAAAACATCTACAGTACCCAAACACATTCTGAAGGGTTACAGGACAGAAACAAGCAACATGACAGAATTACTCAATCCTTTGAATCTGTGGCCGAAGCAGGGACAATTGAATCAACGTCAAATAATCACTCAAACCTTCAATCAAAGATTAATCCTCTGTCGGCACCTGAAAACAGTAAAGATGTGAAACCCAACATTACTGAAACTGAACATAACCAAGCATTCCGACGTCTTCAACGCTCGTATAAATCGCTGGAAAGAAATATTGGTAAGAACAGTAAGATTTTTTCTTATAAAGCAAGTCTTAAGCAACATAAAACTAAAATTAAGATCATGAGGAGGGCCTCACGGATGATTGTTATGTTGTTCACATTAGTTCTCATGTTAATTAAGTAATGTTGTTGTTGTTGTTGTTGTTGTTGTTGTTGTTGTTGTTGTTGTTCAATTTGTCGTAGTGCTTAATTCAATGCATATAGGCATATCAAATAAAGGGGACTGAATTTAAAATGGACATGTGAATTATTGCATGGACTATTTACTATTTTGCAGGGTCCGGAGAACACCGCATTAAAAGAGCTCAAAACGAAGTTAACATTGCATTTTATGCTGTCATAGGAGACCACCATGTACAACATGCCGGTATTAATCAGAATATCGTTTTCGATAAAGTAATCACAAACTTAGGCAACGCTTACAATAAATATTCCGGAGATTTCAAGGCTCCGGTTTCCGGCACCTACGTGTTTTCGGCCACACTTATGGCATACGACTCACAGACTGCACACTACAGAATCATGTCAAATGGGACAGACGTGGGCAATATGTATCTTCATGGCACAGGGGGAGCAACAACAGCTATGACAGTGATACTTCAGCTAAACAAGGGCGATGACGTCTTCTTGCAGAATATTGATTCGGATAAACCGCTCCATGGCTATGCTTATAGCACATTTTCGGGCTATCTTCTGCAACAGGACTTCTCCGCTACCGAAATTGTGGGAAAATAGTAAAATATTGATAACCAAATAGTAAATAAACAGTGTGAATGAGTGACAAGTATTTGTTTTTAATTGATTTGAATTTTTTAAATTTTATACATATGTGAAAGCATGTATGAAGACAATTAAAAAAGAGTTTCAACTGTATTAATTAAAATAATTTTAGCTCAGCTTTTTAATTGATACCTAAAGCTATTATCCGACACATTGTTGTTTCGGCATTTTTGAAATAAAATGTCAAAAAGATAACTATCCGAAACATCGTTGTTTGGGCATTTTTGAAATAAAATCTATCCGACACATTGTTGTTTGTGCATTTTTGAAATAAAATGTCAAAAGATAAAACTTCACCACAGGCTGATACATTTATATGGAACTAGATAAATAATACATCTCTTGTTACACGATCCAACAGTTTGATAAAGTTTTTTTTATTTTTTTTTAATGTTTATCAATCGTGCTTTAATTTTAAACCGTTGCAGCGATTTATTTTGTAAATATTGACTTATTATATGTATTAGTATAAACACACCCGTCAACAGGTTAACTTCTTTCAAGTAGATCCGTTCTTTCCGAGTAGAACAGTTGTGCACTTGATAAGTTTTTTATCCTGCAATCGATTGCTGCACAATGAATATATCAAAGACAATTATGAGTACAAAAAGAGACAAAAAGACCATATCTCGGTTATCTGGTTTATAACTGATTTAAACTGACATTTATATAGTAAGTTCTTACTGCATCAAGCTGTTCTACATGCTACATGTTAACGGGTGTGGTAATAGGGGTGTTACTGTTAATATCTGTGTCAAGTGAAACATAACAACCGTTAGGTCACCGTTACCTCGTGAAAATTGCAAATTTTACTTCTATGCACATTTAATAACTGTAATCAATTATGTTGATGTTTTTAGGCCCGTTTTATGTGGGAGTGTAGCTTAAACAGCTGAATCGTAGTTTTACCTCTGGGTATGGGGCCAGGTCTAGAGAAATGTTCTCTAAACCGAGTCTTCTTTATATTCGTAAATTAATGTTTCTAGTGAAATATCTTTTTTTCACAACATTGAACTTAAGGTGATGTGTATCGTTTTTAAGGGTCGTCAAGACAGTTTACCATTGTTGTTATTAAAGCCGAGTCCTTGAAGGTCTTCGATACCGTAATCTGTAAATCTGGAAAATTGAATCTTGCTAAATCGCAGAGTGAGTGAATGCTGAAACGTTTTCTTTTGATTTCTGGCATTTCACTTCAGAGAAATTTCTATCTGTCTCAGTATTGATACGTGTAACAATTTTATATTGTTCAGCTCAAAAAGGGTCCAAAAATAACCTTTCCTAAAGACAATATTACATATTCCTTCAACACATGAGTTTTAACGAAATATCTCTGAACAACAAGCTGAACGGACTTATCTACACAAGATAACATAATGAATCTTACTTACATGTATTAATTAATTGTGTCAATTTTGGTGCCGTATTTAGAAATTTATCTTATCAAAATACTGGTACACTATACTAGACAGCAAAATCTGTTCGAGTTTATATTACTTATGTTAATGTAGAAATATGGGCAAGACAATATCATTTGTGTTTTTGGCTTTATTTTGTATCATTGACTTGTATAGAACAGAGCCGCTTCAAATAGATCAAGTTTTCAATGGAGTAGAAGAAAGTGACAAAAATGCTCTTCTTGACGTCATTCGACGCGTTGGTTACATTGAAACCATCAACAGTCATATTAAAGAAGAGAACAAACGATTGAGAGATGACGTCATTGCACTTCAAAGTCAAATTGTGTCCATTAAAGCCGATTATGAAGTCAATATAGCAGAACTACAATCAGAAATAAACGAACTTCGTTCAAAGAGTAAACAACAGGAAGACCTTATAACGAAAATAGTTTCAATAAAGCAAGCTGGTTCAGAGGATTTACAATATGCGACCAACATCAATCAGAACTCAAATGAGGAGTTAATAAGCTATGGAAGAGGCATCGAAGATTCCGTTAAGTATGGACCAAAAGACTTAATAGACCCAGTAGACGAAAGTCCTGATATAAAAACCATTGCGTATGGGAAACAAGTACAGGAAATGGAAGACGAGAAACGTCGAGGTCTTATTGCTTCAAGTTTGTATAAGTAGTATTTTATATAAGGTTTTCGTATTTGCATATTTTGATTTGTTCTAGGTTTGTTAGGAATGTAAGAACAACATAATTATCTTTATATCAGTAAGACTACCATAATATACTAGTAATCGGAGTTCTTAACTTCACTAGGATTGTTAGGACTGTAAACACAGAAACAAATATACATGTACCTTTATTCACATATCAGGAATACTTCCATAATAAAGTCAGAGATCTTCACTATAATTATATTCACAATATGAAAAATCCGAAACTATTGGGACAACCTCAGTGATTTAGAAAAACCTGCTTGCGAGAGATGTTAATGAATTAAAACGTCGATTTTGGAACGAAAATGGTTAAAGTACTTCACCTCAGGAATGGCAAATTCGGTGTCGATATATTCTTTCCAAATGCACCCTAAATATCTGGTACATTAAGGAATCAAAAGGGTCTGCTCGTATATTATTATTTATTTCTATTGGTACAGGCCTTATGAATTCCAAATGCTTTCCAGCATGATGAAAACTTCACGTAGCCCATAATTTTATTCTTTAGATTTAACCTTTTATGACGTTAAACAAAAAACAATGTAAGATTTGATACATTGTAAAGCTAAACCCGTGCTTCTTAGTCATAAAACCGAAAACCATAATCAAATAAAATGTAACATAAATCAAATACATTTCAGAATCTGGAGAACGTCTTCTTGTACGAAGAGAGAATGAAGTAAATGTTGCGTTTTACGCTACAATTGGACAACATCATATTGCGCACGCCGGTACTAATCAGACTATTGTGTTCGATGACGTCATAACGAACCTTGGAAATGCTTATAGCAAGTTTGCCGGAGACTTCAGAGCACCTGTTGGTGGAACTTATGTGTTCTCAGTTACACTCATGGCATATGCTGCAAATTCAGCTCACTACCGCTTTGTAAAGAATGGAATTACTGTGGGCAATATATACGTTGGAGGAAAAGAAGGCCCTTATGCAACTTCCGCTATGACGACTGTCCTTGACCTTCAACAGGGTGATGATGTATCCATACAAAACATTGATTCTGATAAAAATCTTCATGGGTATGCCTACAGTGTATTTTCCGGATTTCTTCTTCAACAACACTTCGTAAATCAGGCAGTGGTTGGCAAATAACATTCTTGCTGTTAGTCGTACTCATGTTTGAATATACGAGTATATAATGTAAATGTCATGGGAAAAATACCGATTAAAAATATACAAGACTTTGTCTGTCTTTTGTTCATATAAGCTACTACATAAATATTTCATAAACTATTCCAAATGAGAAATGCTTCAGATAACTGCTTGTATGGACAAATTTTTTTCTAATCTTCAAAAAAGTAGAGCCTGTGCTCTGTTAGCCAAAATTTGATGCCGATCTCTGTCAAAGTGCCGGTGATAAGCAGCATCTGCCAAAACTTCAGCTCGCATTTTTCTATAGTAATCATTAATGATAACTCTCCTGAAGTCGCAAATCTTATAAAGTTTTACATAACGAGGTGATTTTGTTCCTCATAGAAGTAAGCGGTGGAAATTGTACATCTTCAAGATATGCCTCCCTGGTTCCATTGCATAATACATAATTATATATAGAAAAGAGAGAAAGAGGGTGTTCAAAATATGAGCATTTGGTAAGGTTATAATTGTGATAATAACTGTCTGAAACTATTTTCAAATATTAATACTGTATTATCGGGTGTCATATACATTTATAATAATGTTATAATATTAGCCTATTCCACAACATGCAGAGGTGATCAAGAAAACCTTTTGGTTTAAACATATTTATTAAAGTTCGTTGCGAAACTTATATTTATCCCCTAGTGTCATATGAAGAAAAATGGTCGTGGCCTGATTAGAGCTCGAATCAAAGATCCCTGGGTTGAGAGGCAGACACCTAAACCACTAGGCCACCGCTCTACTTATCAAATACGCTGAAAATGTACAGATGGAGGATATATATATTTAATGTCGTAGAGCTAAAGTCTTAACTTAAGTATGTAGAAGCTCAAAACTTTCATATCATATAGACATATACACAAAGATAATATTTTTCTTATGTCCGATTGAACACCCCAGATGCAATATTTTCGTGCTGACGCAGAAATTTAGATACGGAAAAAATATAGTTTCATAGAGTTTTTAATGGTTTTAATGGTTTTAATTACTGACTTCTGCCGCTTAACTTCAATTGCTGTTTCATGACATCATTAAATCTGAAAATTAGTTCTATGGAATTTCTCGAGGCGTGTTGCCTTTTAATATGAAGTGCGCATTTTTATTTTTTGTGCTTCATATACATTTTACGTACGATGGAAAGTAATGTCCGTTCATGTCTGATAGAAATGTGCTATTTGTTCCTATTCAAACATAGCCCGTATCAAAACAATCATCTAAAATGTTATACATATTTCATTGTTGACTTCAAGTAAATTTCATTCTTACATTAGAACAAATATTGTCAATTTAACATTTTGTCAAATGGACTTGTCAATCTTTATATCTGTACAAACCCGTTCATTAATTTAGGTAGAAATTCAAAATAAGTACAGATTGAATAGCAAGATATACAGACCATTGATCTTCGTCGTCGGCATCTGAAGTATGGGTAAAATCTGTAGCCGCAACAGACTTAAGGTTAAGAAAAACCTGCAAAAACTATTTATAGAATTATTGTATTATAGTTTGAGGACCTTTTTGTTAAAAATGTGTCAGATTCAAATCGTATACATATACATGCAGGTATTAGTTACCCGCACTCCAGAGCATACCCATTGATTGGCTCATTTTTGCTGGGGTTTACTTATTGTGACGGCAGAGAATAGGAAAGCAATACAAATATCATATTCAGAAGCTCGTCCATTGGTTTCTTTTTTCTGGGTTTTCATATTGTGACAACAGGGAACGTGTTTTTATGCTTGACTATGATACAAAAGAGAAAGAACATCAAAATACACGGCAATCAGATTAATACTTGGGGGATACGCCCCCTCGTACAAATCAGATAGCCTCGTGTTTCGATAGCATAGCTAGGGATCACGATATCAGTACGTATTACATTTGTTTATTGTACAGCAGGTCTTCATTTGTCACTCGCATTATCTTGCTAAAATCTTACGAGAAATTTGTCAACAAACTTTTTAGAGGATGGGCAAAGCTTCTACAAATATTACTTAGCTCTCGCGTGTTGTACAAACAAAACCATCAATCTATAAATCTTAAACAAAGAAACTCTACTCTATCTAATTATATTAGACCAAAAAACATACCATGAGATTGATAAACTTTGACAATATCAGTGTCACCCAATACAATTAATTGTATTCAATACTCCACATAGTTTATGTTGCATTTTCATTTTGAGTTGGTGTTGAACTTTGTTTCAGTCCAAAGATATTGTGTTACATTTCATTTAATCATTTTCTTTTTTATACGCGTGACGTATTTGTTTATACACAATGTAGCTGTTAATGTTTAGTAACGATTGGCAACGCAATTTTAGCTAGTAGAAATGGGGATGGGATGTGACCTTACAAGATACGGCAAATACCATATTAAGTTGAATACTCAATCACAATTACTTTTAATTATTTTTACTTCTCAATTATGGTGTAAACTGAAACTTTGAGTCAGGTTCTTATAGTACCAGTTTTGTGTGAGGAAACACGGTGGTGACCGAGTAGAGCTCCGACCAAAAATCCCTCGGTTGAGAGGCAGACACCTTAACCACTAGGTCATCTTTCACACATACTCCTAGTATTTTCAACAACAATTTCTAGTTTACAGCAAGTGAGGACGCGTGTAAATATTATCTATAGCAAAAGGATAGGCTAGCAGAATAAAAAATATATGTCTCATTTTGAAAATTTTATTTTCCATGATCATATAATACAAATGGGTATGATAAAAACATCAGCATTCTGACAATGAAGTGCACTGACAGATCACAGTACAATATACATGTGTAGTGGTATAATAAGGGAGGCAATACTTTCTTCTGCACTTTTATCTAGAACTAATTTTGAATATCATGATTACTTCCCTTGAATACCATGAAATTTACATATACAGAAATAAGGTCCGTTTTTAATGACTCGAAATATTTTGAAACGAGGCTGGATTAGGTGTTATATGACTTCATACAGGGCAGTTTAAATTTATTAATAATAAACATATTATTAACATAGCAAAACCTAAAACACTAAAAAAATTAGAAAGTACTTTAAAAAAATTGCCATTTCTCAATTAATCATCACTGGTTATGGGATTAATAAAGTAGACAGGCTTTTAAAAAAAATTGGCCATCTTTTTGCATAATTTTATACAATGTATACGTTTTTTTCAGATTTCAGCTCATAATAAGAAAAAAAATTCTAAAGCAGCGGAGCAACAGAAAGACAAGAATAATAGACAATACATAACAAATATCATAAAAAGTATTCTGCAAGCACCACTGGCAATATACAATGAGACACGCGTATATTTTACAGTCTATATATAATAACACTATTGACATATACAAAAAAAATAACCACACAATCTTTCTTAAGAAATCACTCATTTAAAAAAAATGAGGAAAAAAATTCTAGAAGCAAAAATATATTACATAACATCCGCAATCATCTTCAGCCCACGCTTTAATCACCTAAATGCATTACATTTATATATTTCTTCAAAGGAAGATAAACCGTATCCCATTCAACAGAATGTAAAATAAATGTCTACAAAAATGCTAAAAATGTTCAAAATCTTTATCAATGACACAGTATCTGAAGATATTGCTGCAAAACAATTGTATACTGTACAGTATGACTCTGTACAGTGCAAGTATTTTCATTATTTGCTGATATTTAAATAATTTATTTGAAATTTAAAAATAGAAAACATATTTTCATTAATTTCGCCTCATATTTTCATAGATTTAGTCTAACAAAAAATATTGCTTGCACATATAAATCCAGCCAACATTTTCACTACAGTATCTGCTGTTCCAATATCACTAAAGGGCAATAACTCAAAGAAATCTTTAAGAAAGATTTACAGTCCTTCACCCATCAAATGAAAATTGTGATAAAAGTGTGTTATAGTTCTAAACGTAAAATAAAAAATTCAGTTATTCATGAAATAAAATAATTGTTAAACTGCTGGCATCCACTGAATTTACCTGTATAACAAGTTTCTTCCCTCGCTGCTATTCATCTGTGTGTATTTTGAAATTTTCCCTTAAATAAGTGATAAAGATTTAGTCCAGATTGAAAAATGGACAAGTTCATTTCAGATATTTAGCTAATAAGTGATAAAAAATATCTCCACAACGAATAACGAGACATTTCTTTGTATTAAAATATGAAAATGATCATAAAGGTTAAATTACAAAAAGTCCTTTACAGAAAAATATGGCAAAACCAAACAAATATATATGAAAACTGAATCGTATCATTATTTTGTTTTTCAATATCCCATTTAATGGTTCATTCAGCAAATTACACATAGATGCTGCTGATAAAAATTATAACATGTAGTTTTCATGTTAAATAGTTAAACATATATTTTCAAACAACAAAACTAAATTTCACCACATTACTCATATAACTACGATTGTTGTGGAAAAACCCCTTCATATTTCAGCAAAAATTCTTCATTTTGCGTATAAAACACACAATTATTCTCTAATTATAATTATTGTACTATTAAAATTCACATTTTTCATTCATTTTGTTTATAACAATAAGCTGTCTTGAACATACATTACATTTTCACATTTCACTACTTTCACATTTTTTATTTAAATCTTCACATTTTTTCTATACCACTAATATGAAATTTTCACATTTAGTGAATACACTAACAACAAGACAAACATCATCGTGTCACTTTTGTTTTGGCACTATCACCATTAACCTCCGGTGAGGGAAAAGTTTCATCATGAGAGTGGTTAGATTTTGTATATTTCTCTACATAAGCTTCCACAAGGCTTTTTATCTTATTTGGATTAATGTTCCCACTCTTGCTGTGACAGATCTGAAAATGTAAAAAAAAAAATAATAATAATTCAAGTTATAATAAAATTTAGTAATACAGTACATTTTGGGCATCAAACCAAAATGCATTAGGACTAGTGGTTGGAAATATCTACAAAGAAGTAAACTTAAAGTTTTATTTTCAAGCACAAAAAAGTAGTTATTGAAGTAATACAGTTGTTTTGCTTTTTATTCCCTAGATCAAGGATAAAATTTCTTGTAGAAAAGGCCAGTCAGCAATGATCTTTCATGGATATTCATAAAAGGTACAATATCAATCTATATAAATTTCTGAATAAAAAAAAACAAGAGCTGTGCAATCCACTTTTACCCTTAGTATTGGAGGGAATGATAAAACAAAAGTAGGAAAGGGGCCATAATTCCAATGTCACACCATCAAGTATGTCATGATTATTTACTATGCTTGCTCATCAAAACGTTGAGCAAAAATTTTAGAACTCTGATCTAATGCTTAAATACGCAGTAAAACAATAGAACAGTTTATTCTTACTGAAGTGCGTTAATTTACTGATTGACTCTTCAAACATTTATATATGGCATGTCTAATCTCAAATACATGTAGAGCTTGTGTTATGAATTACCTTAGGGACAGCTTTCCTGAGAATGTCTTTGTACTGGTCTTTGTTGATTTTCTTTCCCGAGTAGAACGGTTTGATTGCCATCTTGACTTCTTCTACAACACGTTCTTGTAAATGCAGCTTTTTAAGATACTGTAATTTTGAGAGATATATGAAGATTTGATCACATGAGATGCTAAAGCTGCATGCCTTGAAGTACATGGTGTTGATGTTTTTTGGTTGTTTTTTTTATGTGGGTGGGGTTTAGACAATTTTGTCAAGCTTTTAAATGGGAAAATATTGTCAAAAGAAGTATCAAGTATTAAAAATCTGTGAAGATAACCTTGAATATGTAAAAGTATGAGAAAAAAAATTTTGCTTTGTTAGTTATAAGGTAGCATTATCAGTTTCATTATCAGTCACATTTTATCTAAAGAATGTTATGTGTTACATGCAATGTGAATTTTTTACACATTTCTTTAACTTTTGATCGTAATTTTATCTAAAACTTCACCTATCTGCATCTCTAAGATAATATCTTTGAGACAAAAAATACCTGAACTAGATAGAAATTACTACTGAGTCTACATACCAGCAATGTAATAATTTTCAAGACCCTGATACATATATAAATTCACATAAATAATACAAGTATTATAACAAAGCTTTTGTGGTTTAATGCTGATCACTCCTTTTAATTCTACCATCATTAAAAGTCTATGTAAATACGAGACTGCCATTAACAGTGCTGATTTATTCAGACACATAAAGCAAGATTGTCTCAAGAATTTTTTTTCCAAGCCCATTTTACATCATTTTAAGCAATATATCACCTGTTTATTAAAGCTTGTTTCTTAGATACTAAGAAATAATCACCTTTCCTAAATGTGCGTATGTTAGTTGATATCGAAATTAAAACTTTATTGTCGACTAAGAAAATCTAATGAGGATTTAAATGTTTAAAAGCATGAACATTTATCATATTTGTTGTTTTTATTTTGAAATACACAACACCCACAAAAGTAAATCCTTTGAAGAAACTGACAATTTAAAATGAAATATGACCCTTAAATTTATAAATTTTCTTCATATTCATGCCTTTTTCTAGATAAATGACATATACTGTAGCAAACTAAACTTTTTTAAATATAGCTGTTCAATGACAGTTTGTTCAGGTCATTTGGTGACTTCCTCACTTACCTAAGTGGAGGAAGACTTCAGACTTCCTCTGTGCATTGTACCAGGCAAGAACAGTCACCAATCCAATGTAGCAACTGATATTTTAATTTTTAATTGGGGCATTATATTGTTTGTTGTAATGTTTTCCCCCACTTTTACCATGTTTAAGTCATATCTCAGCAGTAGGACCTATCCAATTTTACTGGATACCTAACCAGTTATTACTAATTTCTTTGCAAGTTACAGACTAATAGTGCTAAAAGATATCTGAATTAGTGGCGAGAGACAAATGACAAATAGACTAGATGTCCCAAAGCAATTGTTACATAGTAACTTTCACTCATTTAAAGCTCAAGGGGCTATTATAAAGATTCACACTAAAGACGCTTTGCCAAGTACAATAATGAATGAAATCTTATTGTTTTAGCTGAATGTTGTCTTAAATAACATAATCAACTTATTTACCTTTTCTTTTATTGTCATATCCACCGCAGATGAAGGAACTTCCTGAGTATCAAGATCTAAGTGTGCATCCTTCAACGCTTTCTCTTTCAAATCCTTGTCTGGTTTTGCTTTTGTTTTGTGCCTGTGTGATTTATGTGAAGATTTTTCATGTTTATTCTCCTTCGATGAGCGTTTACGTTTCTCATCCTTATTCTTAAATGGAGAGTCTTTCTTTTCTAAATCTTTCACATCTTTATTCTTAGTTGGAGTTAATGTTTTGTCCTTAACTACCTCTTTTTCAACTTTTTCATGTAGTTTTTGCATCTTTTTATTGAAATCTTCTTCCAGTAAGTCCTCAGGATTATCAATTAGATTATCAAACTGAGGTGACACTGGTAACTCAATATTTCCTTCTTCATTAATTGGAGAACCCATATCCATATCAATAACTTCAGTAGCATCTACATCAGGTTTAGCGCCAGACTTTCCTATTGGCACTTGTGGCACTTTGAAAACATCCTCTGCTTTCATGGGTATTCCAGATTTATCTGAATTATTACCTATTTTATCACTAGAGTGTCGTCCATCCTTAGAAATAACCATTAAATGAGCCTGTGTGTTTAGAAGCTCACTTATTTTCTCTAATTCATGTATAGTTCCTTCCGATTTTAATTTATTTCCATTATTCAGACTGTCTCCATTTACCATTGATGCCGAAGAAGAAAGTCCAGGTAACATTGCAGAAGATACTACTGGCATTGTGCCTGAACCCATTCGAGCCAAACCAAGAATTGCTGAGACTGAATTTGGAGGAGTGCCTGATCTCTGGAAGGGATCTGACAAAATTGTACCAGGTGGTGGTATTGACATTAAACTGGAATTAGGAGGAGGGATTGAAACCATTACTGACATTGGGGGAGGTTCTGATACAGATGGTAACAATGGTATTGGTAAACGAGGGGGAGGGGCTCTTGGATCTGGACCTAGATGAATTAATTGAGGTTCTGGCCCAGGTGGTGGTAAATGTCTAGGTGCATCATTCATCTCTACAGGGATCTGAACAATGTTTGGTGGAGGAGTATCAGTCTTTATAGTTAGCAAATGAGGAGGTTCCCCTAGTGTTACTGAGGGGGGAGGAAATTGTGGATGACCTGGTGTTAAATTGTGTGGAGGAAGGGCTTCTGAATGAGGTGGGGGGAGACCATCAAAAGGACCATTCATCATAGGGTGACCTGGTATACCAGCAGGGGAAGGTATTCTTGATCCAAACTGACTAGGGATCACTTCTGAAGTTGTTGTAACCTGCCAACCAAAGCGTACACCTCCAGGACTTGCCAGTCTCTGAAGTCTTGGTGCTCCTGGACGCAAAGGGCTAACAATAAGCTGCCTCTGAGAAGTAATTGTTGGAGGCAGTCCTCTGTGAAAACCTGGAGGCAAAACATTGATATTTACTGGTACTGACATAGCAGGTCTTTGTTGGATTATGCCTGGAGGACCTGCCTCAATAGGCGGTGGAGGCCCCTGCAGAATAATAGGACCCTCACCAAGAATGCCAGGCCCTTGTGGTGCACTTGCTTGAACATGCATAGGGGGGCGTTCCTGAAGAATTACACTCCCAGGCGGTGGGCCTTGTGGTGGAGGACCAGGGGGTGGAGGCGGAAACTGAGTAAAATCTCCACTGGGGGGTAATGGAGGAGTTGGCACTGACATGGGTTCTGGCAAAGGCGGAGGAGCCGGACTTGAAGCGCCAGTGGGATTTGCAGGATCATAATCATTGCCACTTACACCGATAGTTATCAAATTTTGTCTCATCTGCTTACTTTTATTTTGCCCTAAAAACTCATCCCTGTCAGTATATTGAAATTGCTCAGTTTCTTCAGGCTCACTATCAAATTCTTCCTCTTTGTCATCAGCCTCTACAAAGGAAGCAGGGGCTTCTCTAGCACTAATATTTTTTACCTCAATTCTCGATATAGTTTCTATTTTTTTAGTCTCTGTCTGAATTTCTTTTTCAGACTCACTAGAAGACACTTCATCATATGTTGGTTTCTTAGCTGGAGGAGGAGAATCTAACAAAATCACATCATCATCATCTTCTATATGCTGCCTTGGTTTCTTTCTAGGAGTCAGATTTTGCTTTTCTTTGAGGAATTCTCTTCTGGTAAAAGGACTTCTAGATCTCCCAAAAATATCTACCTTATCCTCTGAATGCTCTCTACTTCTCTTCCTATCTCTACTTCGCCCTCTGCTTCTGTCTCTACCTCTTTCTGAGCTCCAATCTCTATCCTTACTCCATTCTCTTTCCCTACTTAAATCCCTACTTATCTCCCTTTCTCTGTCTCTACTCCTATTTCTTTCCCTTTTCTTCTTTTTTCTTGATCTATCATGTGACCAATCTCTCGACTTAGACCTACTTCTGTCTCTACGTTTTCGACGTGATCTATCTCTAGACCGTTCTCTATCTCTGGATCTAGATCTTGATCTTCTTTTATCCCTAGATCTAGATCTATTCCTTCTATCATGAGATCTACTTCGTGATCGAAGTCTTTTATGCTTTTTATCCTTTTTACTGTCTTTTTCATTTTCCTTCATTTTTTCCTTATCTCTTCTTCTTTCTTCCCTATCACGCTTTTTCCTTTGTCTCTCCTCTTCTTCCCATACTGTTCTATCATCATTATTTTGAGTTACCTGAATCACTATTCTTCTGTCCAAATCAGATTCACCTTTTTCCTCATAATATTTATCTCTTTCTTTGTCAACTTTTCGCTTTTTCTTATCCCGTTTCTTCTTGTCTTTAAGTCTGTACTCATCATCTACTTCACCTTCCTCCTTTTCTTCATAAGCATATTTATAATCAGAGTCTGTTTTTCTCTTTTCACGATTTTCTTTTGATTCCCTTCTATGTCTAACATTTTCACCTTCATTTTCATCTAAACTGACTTTTCTTTTACTTTTTCTAGTTTCTTTATCCTTTTCTTTCTTTTTACTAAAGTCTGCATTACCAAATTCAAGGTCTAATTCTTTATCTAGCTTCCTCATTTCATGTATAGGATCTTCTTCCTCCAAGTTTGATATTTCAGGAGAAGTTCTTTCTGTACTAAGTTTTTTAAATCTATCACTAACTGAAATTTTTGTTGTCCCTACGTTTTCTTCTGAATTAGAACTGATAGGTTTAAATTTCCCTGTAAACTTTAACTTTTCCTTACTTTCTTTTTCAACTTTAATTTTAATTTTTTCTTCTTGAACAACTTTGCTCTCCTTCGTTTCTTTAGTGGTGATTTCCTTATCTGACTTTCCTTGGCTATCTTTGTCTGATTTATCTTTCTCAGAATTTTCTTTTTGAATGTTTTCCTTCTCCAATTTTCCAGTTTCTTCCTTTGACACTTCTGTTTCAACAGGTTTTGGTTCTAATTTACTTTTAGTACCTTTAAAAACTTCTTCAATTCTTTTCACACTTAATTCGAATGTCTCTGGAAAAGCACCTTCACTAAAGTCTACATCCTCTGAAAAATCTATTTCCCCACCGTACAACCTACGTTTCTCAAATAGTGTTTTTCTTGATATTTCAAATGGTTTTACTGAAGATTTTTTGTTTGATTCAGTAATTTTTATGCTAGGAGATTTCTTAATTGGGCTTTCCTTTTTCTCTATTGAGCTAGAATTTTCAGGTGCTTTCTCTTGTTTTGACAATGAAATTTCAGGACTAGTCTTTTTATCAGAATCTTTCTTTTCAACATAAGACTTATCTTTACTCTTAACGCTACATTTATCTTGTTCAATATCACTAAAAATAGCGGAGTCTTTTAATTTTGACACCTTTTCACTTTTGCCAGAAGATTTTTCTGTCAAACCTGTTACTTTCACACAAGGTTCCTCACTTGGAGCTTTCCTTGATTCGTTTTTAACATGTATTGTTTCCAAAGTCTTCTTTGTTTTTTCACCAAATGCTTCCTCTGTACCTTTAACTTGACTATCATTATCTGCAATATTACTTATAGACTTGTCAGCAATATCTTCATCAGAACTGATATCATCAGTAGGATGAGCAGGGTCGTACTCGTCCTCACTTTCTTTCTTGTTCTTATCTTTATCGCCATTTTCCATGTCATCATCAACTTCATCAGTTGGGAAAGCTGGATCATATTCTTCATCTTCTTGCAGATTCTTTTCTGATGATTCAGATTTTAGAGATGAGAGAACTGATGGTTGTTTGCTAGAGGACTTGTCCACAGCAGTGAAAGATGATTTGAATAGAGAAGAACCTGAGTTAGGACTTATGTCAGATGTTTTGCTGGAAGTTTTCAAAGGTGTATCACCAGGCTTCTCAGTTAAGGAACCTGAAAAATAATTAAAGACTAAAGACATTGAAATACCATTTGCATCAATATCTTAACTTCAATATTCTCATAATATTGCTAACAGATCAATTAACATAAAGTATATAAAATTTTATCTTCTTTTACAAAAGTTTTCCTAGAGAAGAAAGCTTTCTTCAAAATTACACATATATATGTGTATCCAGAATTAACACATGAAGATTTTCTTTCTAATCCAAATGTAAGTTGGATAATTTCTTAGCTGTACTTTTCATCTTTGTTGGTTTTGTCGTGACATGGCTCATATAACTTTTAGCCAGCTGGCCGCCACTGAGGATGCACATTCTATCACAAAAGAACAACATTAGACATCAAATTCTTTCTGTCTAATGGTGCACTGTACATTGATATTTAAACAAAGGTAACAGTGTCACAAAATACACCAGTCACAAAAACTTTAGGTGGAGATGTGGGTGATAAGAAATGTGGCAAGCATGTTGGTCCCTATATGCATTTTTGCATTTTATCTGAACTTTGACCTCTATGTGTGACCTTCACCCTGGCCTCAGTGACCTGAATTCTATGTGTGACACTCCATCTCACAATGGTGAACATTTGTGCCAAGTAATATTACAATCCCCCTATGAATGTAGAAATTTTGCTTTGGACAAGTATTTTTCAATTAGTGTGACCTTGAGCTTTGATCTAGAGACCTGGGTCATGAATGAAGCAATACATCTCATGCTGGTGAACATTTCTATAAAGTACTATAAAAATTCTTCCGTGCATGTAGGAGGTATGCTCCAGACAAACTCTGGATATTTCATCATCTTAAGTGACAATGACTTTGCATAAATTGACCTAAATTACATGTGTCACAGCCATAGTCATGATAATGACCATTTGTGTTACAATCATGATGACTTAATGGTCCCTATACACATCTTCATATTTTTATCTGTAATATGACCTCTATGTGTGACCTTTACTTTGGCCACAAGGACTTGAATTTAGCATACGACAAATGGTAAACATTTGAACCAAGCTTTTATGAAACCCATCTAAGTGTGACCATGGTTCAAGTGCGCGACATGGCTTCTCATAGTGTTGAACATATCTGATTAACAGTTTCATTAAAATCCCTCCATGTAGGAGATATGCTCCGGACAAAATTGGGCATGTGCAGCCTGCCAGGGGCTTTCTAATTATATATCCAATTTTTTCGAAGGCATATAAAAATGATGCATTAGTTTCTCCAGATTGACAAGTCCATTAAAGATATTTAGTGTAGTAGGGGATATTCAAAGAGAAAACATTGTATCTTCTTCCACAAAGACAGCAGGTAAGAATCTATAAAACTGTGTCAGGTTTAGAAAAACAAATAATTAATGCACACAAATGAGTTCTTGTCCAAATAAATAGATCAAGCCAAGACTTCTGTGTACTTTTATATATGCATGTGTGCTGCCATGTGCATATATTATAGTACATTTATCAAATTAGAACTCTGCACAAAAGATTCTATGTAATTAGAGTCATATAAGAACTCTGCACACAAGATTCTAAGTAATGAATGTAAGTAATTAAACTGGTATAAAAAGGTATTTATACAAACCATCTCTCTGAATAACTAGATTTTTGCTGCTTAGGCGTAATTTATCCTGATCTTGCATGATAGAACCAAGAAGGTCAAGGCTACCACCAGAAGCTCCTGGCATTGTATTTATCACAATCTTCTTCTTCTTTTTAACAGGGAAACTGAAAACACAACAGATATATCACTCAGAAAATAACGTTTCATACCTTTTTTCTAAATAAAGTTATTTCTAGTAAAAGGGAAACAATCCAAAAGGAAACAATCAAATTGCAGAATTATTTTTTCTTCCCATTAATAATGTAAAAAAAATTCATCTGTAACATTTTTGTAACATTTACTTTCGAAAAAAAAGAGTTCCACTGACAGACAATACAGTTAGAATCCCTACTTAAGACCACCCCGGAATAAAGACCACCCCGCTATTAAGACCATTTTGTAAAGGAACAGAATTTTCTGTTCTTTATATCAATGGTTACATGATCCAGAATTAAGACCACCCTGCTTATCCACTTTTAAGACCACCAGATTCAGTCCCAATTCATTGTTTTATTCTTTATTTGACCCCAGTATTGAGACCACTGATATCAAATGTCAACACCTATCTTATCTTAAATTTTGTTATTATCTGCTTGAATGCTTTGACACTTGATTTCACAAGGTGTCTAAAAAAGGTTGTTATTGGTTTTATTTTTATTTAAAAAATTTCCCTTTAAAAACGAAAAAACGGCCCCCAAAAAAGGTTTTAATTTTTTTTAAAATTTTATCTTAAAGGCCATCCAAAAGAAAAAATCATTAAATTTTTTTCTTTTATTAAATTTTAATTTTTTTAAAAAAAGTTTTTAAATTTTCCCTTTTCAAAAAAAAGATTAAAGGGTTTTTTTTTTCTTTTTGAAAATTTATTTTAAAATTTTTTTCCCCTTTTTACATACAACCAAACTTTATAACCAAGAAAAAAAAATAAATTTGGGTTTTTGTCTTTTTGGTTGAAATTTTACTACTAGTACTTTTTTTTTAATTTTTCCCAAAAAAGGGGTTTTTGGTCTTAAGGAGGGCGGGCCCCAAAAAATTTTAAATTTAAAAAAATGAATTTTATTATTAAATTTAAATAAACAAACCCAAAATGGGGAGAAAAAAAGTAAAAATCAAGAAAAAACTTAAGACAAAACATGTTTGTTTGTACTTACAGAGTTGGTACCCGGCCTATAGGTTTATATGATGAAAGAGCAAGTCTGGAATATTTTCTGGTTTCCCCTGATCCACTAGTTGCATTGGTACTGGTACTAGGTTCATCTTGTTCACTGAAAAAAGGTGTAAATAAGAGTGTAAAAATAAATGCACAGACATTTTATTGTTCCCTATTTATCTTTCCTTGTCAAGAAATCATAACACTTGTGAATTTCAAACATACATAATCAACAAATGTTTTAGTACTTTTACACAGTATGTGAAAATAGTATTAGCAAGTAACAAGTAACAAGAAAGTTGGCCAACTTGTAAATTATTTTAGGTCAAATTTTAACAACAAAATTAGTGCCATAACTGAACCAAACAAAATAAGCATAGGAGAAAATGTTTTTCATTAAGTCTTTTAGGTCAAGACTAGCTTTCCTTGCCATTATTTCCTCCGGAATATGAGAGCTTCTTGTTTAATTTATACAAAAACCCCTAATTTAATTAAGGTTCATTAAATAGGTTATAAATTCATAAGAAAACATTCTTTAGGTCTTAATTCTAATATAAAGATTTCTAAACTGAAAATATGTTTTTAACTTGTTTAAAATTAACATGATTTGTGCGATAAAAAAAAAACAATACTCTTGTTTCAGTTGGATTAACTCTCAAAGTTAACTTATAGTACAAGTAGCATAAACTATAAAATCATACTCTTCATAAAAATTTATTTGGTCTTTATGTCCAAATATTGAGAGGGAAGAAGCTCCAATATCTGTCCTCTGCATATCTAACGTCTTCTCTTGCTTTGTCTTCTGAATCGGTATAGTACGGCCTGGGGGAGGGTTTATTATACCTAGAGCCCCGGCTATCCGAGTCTTCACAGAAGTCACAGTTGCCGGTCTAGCTGTACGAGCTAGTCTCTGAAAAATAATAATTATAATAGAAATTTTAAATATGGATCTCTTTATGGTGCTTTAAAATTTCAAGCCAAGCCAGTTTTTCAGCCATGTACACAATTGCTTTTGAATTTTAATTTGGTCTGTTAAATTCTATTACAGTGTGAAAGATAGTATTTATATTGCAAGTGTTTATCAAATACCAAGCTTAGTTTTCACGTATAATACAGCATGTTTGTAACATTGCATATTTATGAGCCGTTGTTTGCAATATATGTTATGTTCGAACCAATTATATTGGATTAATAACCTGTCATCAAATTTTTTTTTGATATTCTAAATTTGGACTACTTCAAATAATTGCAGGCCTTTTTATTTACTATGCCATAACTTTTAACTATTTCAGTTCCATATTTTTACAAATTTTTAGTGATATCTCTATGGTCTGTTCACCTTACCTGCTTTCCAATGAAACTAACCAGTAGCTACCAATCTATCTGCTACAATATATGATTATTGAATCAGCAGTGAGAGAAAAATGACTTTTAGATTCAATGTCCCAAGATAAACTGTCAAGGAGAAAATTCCCCTCACTCAAGGATCAAACAGGAAATCCATGGGTTACAAATCTGATGCTCTCACTATTTGAGTTTATTTAATCTTATTTAGTTAATCTGAACTGAAATTTCAGACTGCACTGTACTTCTACCAGGTAAGATCTCTCCAACTACTTACAAAGTTTCATGTTTGTTTGTTTGTTTTGGGTTTTACGTCACATCGACACAGTATAGGTCATATCGCGACGTTCCAGCTTTACTGGTGGAGGAAGACCTCAGGTGCCCTTCCGTGCATATTTCAGGCACAAACAGGCACCTGAGTAGAACCACCGACGTTCCGTAAGCTAGCTGGATAGCTTCCTCACATGAAAGAATCCAAAGTCCCTGTCGGAATTCGAACCCACAGCGATGAGGGGCAAGTGATTTGAAGTCAACAACCTTAACCACTCGGCCAAGGACGCCCCAAAGTTTCATGTTAATATCTCTTATAGTTTCAGACTTATGTGCCGGACAAAGTAACATAAGCTCACCTTGGATTTCTTTCCTTTTTTGCCTTTCCTTTTTGTTTTTCTCTTCCTTGTAGTTTTCCTCTTTCTTGTCTTTGTTGTGGAAGTTCCCTTTGTGGTTCTTGGTTTTCTTTTGGTAGTTTTTCTCTTCTTTCTCCTGTACTTTCTGGGAGTTTTTCGTTTTGTTGTAGGTTTTTTAATGGGTGATTTTTTAGCTGGACTAGAAGTTGATGCTGCTGCTGCTGCTACAGGGGGAGTGTCTTCCATTTCAGGCTCATTCTCACTCTCAGCCAACTCATCCTGCAAAAAGTAACAATAAATTAGGTCATGTTAACAGAGAAGGATTCTAAATAGATCTTCTTGAAAACATTTTTTTTTTGAAACAGATGTGAAACTGTATTTTCATACTGAATATACTTTTGACATGAGTTAAACTTGGATAATTATTCAAATTAACATTTTGTAAAGATTTCAACACACCAAGTTTGAAACTGATATTCAGAAACAATCTAAAAACTTTTACCTTTGTAATTATTTAAGCAAACAATTCATAAAAATTTAACTCGTCTAACATGTATTTGACATTATATTCAAAGAAATACTAAAAGCACTGACTAAATAAGCCAGCAGATTCAAGAAAACAAAAAAATAATCAAGAGAAAAAGACTTTGGGTATATTGTATCAGCAAAACAGGTAGGTATCATTTTTCAGCAATTGGATAATTTTATTAGATAACCACTACACACTGCATTTAAACTAATTCTTGCCCACATGTATCAGTATTTATTTCCCCATTTATTTTAACAAACCTTGCATGTGTTAGAAGGGTAACCACAAGAGATTTGGGGAAATTAAACAAACCGATTCAAGAGGTTATTTTTTTTTTTCAAATCATAATACACATTTATAGATGTTTTTAAAGCCATAAATGCCACAATATTGGCTCTGGCTATGGCAAATCTTCACAGCCATCTCTTTGTGGTTTGGGTATAAAGATTTCACAGTTCACATTACTCATCTCCTTTATTTCATAAACTGGACATAATTGTGTCAAAATGAAAACAAATATGATGATGTATCTAATTAACTGTAATACAAACTTCATCTGACGAGGCTAACTGCTGCATTCTCTGTGTCCGTCTAACTCGTATCTCTTCTATTGCACTACGTACACGCTCACTGACCAGGGTACGAGGAATCTGTCTTCTATACCGAGATGCATGTGGTAAATAATCAGCATCTTCTCCTGGATAAAAAGTAATAGTTATATCTTTCATTACATTTGATATTTTAAACCATTTGTGTCCATCTTTCAAACAGGGCATTACAATTAATAAACTTAAGAGAAATTTTCAAAATATCTACTGACTTTAATAGTTATCAGTGCAAACCATGATCAGGTTTCTCAGACGTGCTGCCTGATCTTCATCTTTACTGGGCACATCTATGACCTATGGTGTCTTTCCATTATTTCAGGAATGAGAAGACACCTAAGTTATGCCTATAACCACTGATCTTAATCAAGCCAGCTGGATAGCTTACTATCAAAACTGAATTCAAGTCTCTCGCAGGGTTCAGATTCACAGTGATAATGGGCAAGGCATTTAACATTGTTAAACATGAACGGCATGGCATGATAGTTAAATATATATATATGATATATATGATCAAATGTTTAGATAAAATTCAGGTTACTACTGAGTATATCCAAATTAAAATTCAGAAGTATTACCATCTCTTCTTGCACAGTTTGCACAAAACCATTGTTCTACAGGCACCTCTCTGAGGGGAGGAGTCAGACATTCGAGATGGAAACCCAAGTCACACCCATCACATAGAAGTAGGCGGTCTTCCCTGTCACATGCATGACACACCTCACAATAGGTTGGCTCCGCCTCTTCTTCCTCCTCCTCCTTTTGTTTGTTAACATCAGCAACTGTGATCTAGAAATAGAAGATTATACAAATCACATAAATATGTAAAATTTAAGTTTTTTTTCCAAAAAATATAAATAAACAAGATGTTTTTTTTTTGTAAAACAAAAATGCACATATCTCATGGCTGCAAAGAGATGACAAAGTCATTTAGATATCATTGTCATTTTGTCTTTCTATCTTTAAGATAAAATAACAACATTACCAATAAAATTTTGTAAATTTTGAACACATAACACGATAACTCAAAGCCATCAGTCAGCTTCCTCACACAAAAGAATCCAAAGTTCTTCACTAGATTCAGACATTAATGACAAGCAAGATCAATATTCAATATGGTACTTGTACACACAACAAAAAACAACAACAAAGACCCAGATCTGAATATAGGATTAATATACAGTCAACTTTCGTTATCTCGACATCGCTTTTCTCGATCTTTTGTTATCTCGATGAAACTTTGAAAGTCCCGATTTTCTTCCTTCTTTATCTTTATTGGCTATATTTGTTTATCTCGATATTTTTATTTCGATATTTTCAGTATCTCGATGTAAAATTTCAGTCCCCCCACAGTTATTTTCACACTATTATCCTTTGTTTATCTCGACTAATAGTTTTCTTTCGTCTGTATCTTTCAGACATGTGAAAAACAAACCAGGCAATAATTGCTCAATAGCACGTGTCATAAATCAATTTGATTATCAAATGATGATAATGTTTGTAACAAGTTGGGCTGTTATTATAAAAGTTAATCTAATTAGCGTGTTGATTGACTTATGGCCAAAATGAGTGAATCTTACGTTCTTTATAAATATTCAAACACTGTATCAATTCATTATGACTTTAAATGTAAATGAAATAGTGAAAGTTTGGAAACGTTATCGTTGCAATATTGTTTCACAACATCAACAAATCAATCAGCGGTCGAACAATCTTGAGAAAGACCTGATAAATAACCCGGGAGGATATCCGGATCAACCACCATGAAAACAATGTTTTCACTATATTAGTCAGTTTGGTGTATCACTGAGTAAACCTCACATTATGTTTTTATCACAGACACACATATTTCTGCTGGTAAACATCCGCTAATGTTACTTTGTTAAATATTGACAAGGCCTATGAAAACAAGACATGCGGATATCATACTTGACAGTAAATTTTCAAGAAGAAAAAAAAATTTCAACTCAGAATATGACCTATATTGGCTGTTAAATAGCTCCACCTCGAAAATAAACATGGGCAAAAATCTTCCCAATTAAAACAGTACATACATAACTTCTTCAAAACTTTGGACAATTCTACAATGTATGTTAACAACTTCATAATACTGTAAGTAATATGTGTCTATTTTATATTATTATTCAGACAATATAATTTATCCATAGAAGAAAGGGATAACACATGAATATGGTACATCAAAAGAATAAACTGTTCCAAAATAAGATATTACGCTGCTTTTTTTAAGAAGGGTATTTACTATTAAGCAGTAACTTTGGGCATGCGTCATTCATTATTTAGGAAATATTTATATCAACATATTACTTTCTTACAGCTACTTTGGAATTATTTTTTATAAAAATTCAAATAAAAACTGAAGTTGATATGACTAGAATATATGTGCACATTATGATGCTTATGTATAAATATATAACAACATAGGAATCTTTGGATAAATCTGCCTAGCAAAGTTATATTTACTATTTCCTTCCGTGTAAGAATACATTACACTGTCTAATACACTTGGATACCAAACTATCTAAAAGAGTAAACACCTGTTTTAATTGGATTCCAAAAGGCCAGCTTGCATTGAATAAGTATAAATCAATTTCTAACAGTAAAGTACAATGGAGATATGAAATTAAATATTTGATAATCAAGTACAAATGATTCAGGTGACAAATGTTTCGGCTTGATTTCTGGTTATAACAGAAATCAAGCCGAAACATTTGTCACCTGAATTATTTGTACTTGTAACGGTGTTTAAAACAATCATATTTACAACTTACCTTCTTATAAATGACATCATCAACACCATGCCTGCATAAAATCAGCTTAAATACTTGTCTGTCTGAAGGGCATGTATTCACATTCTGAAAAACAAAATACACAAAATTATAGTGAGATATAGTCATAATATAGTCATTCCTTACTCTGTATTTGTTTGTGTTTACAGACGTGTTTTTTAAAATCATTCTAGTCATAAACCAGCAGACAATTACTTTGCAGGGATTTGCAGTCTTAAGTCATGAATTTCAGCCCCAAGTTGGCCCAAAGAAAATCTCTGTGGACTTACAGTTCTATTCCATTACCACTAAATGTTACTTTTTTTAGTATAATTCTAGTATAATTTACACTAATACAAGTAAACAAAAGCTGTTGGTAGGACACCGTGCTTGACTACTCTCATTGCTTTATAGTAAAACAAGTGCCTGGAAAACTTTCAGTTATGGACCTTGATCAGTGACCTCCTATCATGCCCTCTAATAATTTTGAGAAGTTTGGAACAATTCCCTCAAGTAGTTTTAAATAGCAACAGCAACTTGCATACAAAATCTTAACCAAAGTGTTATGTCATCAATGCCAAGGTGAGTTCAATAGCTCTCCCTATTCTTCAAATAGTCAAGCTAAAAAAGCATCAACAGACTATCAACCAGTGGCCCCGGCATTCTTGAAAATATCACATACCGTTGACCATTCATTGATACATTCCAGACAGAAAACATGGTCACAGCATTCTGGTGTACCAACATCTTGATCTTTGAACCTATTTAAACAGATAGGGCATCTTTCTCCACCTTCTCCGTCACTGTCACTAGCTTCAAGCACCGCTTCACCTTCGTCTTCATTTTCCTCTTCATCATCATCATCATCTTCTCCTTCTTCTCCTTCTTCTCCTTCATTATCTTCATCGGCCTCCTCCTCAGATTCCCATTCTGAATCAGTGTTGATATATCATAGTATCAATTAATCTTAACAGATTCAACAACTTATAAAACAGCAACTTCTACATGTATGTAACAAGTATAATAATATACCCATGTTAAGTGTTTAGGAATCTTTTAATTAATTATCACATAAAAATCATAATTCAGACAGAAATTGCATGGGACCTGTGTTACACAGGGTGTAAAACGTGTCTTACTCGCACCAGTGTAATTTACAGTGTTCGAAATTAGCAGTAGTCCGATAGCCCCTGACTACTAAATTTCTCCTCGGGCTACCAACTTTTCACAGTAACAAGCCCGACCAGGCTACTGCTTTTTCAGAGGCAATATAAACATATATTTTGAATAAATGAATCATGCTAGTAAAATGTCTTTTGGGCTAGTGAATATTCCAATCTGGTAGTCCGACCAGCCTAGTTGATTCAAATCCTAATTTCTTACACTGCTGTAAACAGTAGAATATCTCGTCTGTTAGGCAAAAAATGGGTTTTCTTAAATATACTTCGACACACTGATAGTTTAAACTTGATCATGCTAAATGTCTATCTTTAAATATGGGTTAAACCATTCATTGTTCTTTGGGAAAAGTTTTGATATATAAACTAACTGAAAAATAGAGAAAAGCACAAAAAATGATCAGATGACACTGATATGACGGCTTATCTTGGTCTGCACTGGTCTAACAGGTAAAATATCAACCAGCAGGCTTAAGCAATAACATGGCACCTTAATTAAAGATGGGAAAAAGGAAAATCTCTCATTACCCTCAGTGACCTCAACCCCACCCCCTCCAAAAGTAAAGATTTGTGGATGGTATCAACATTCGAAATGAAGGTGCTATGACAAATTAAAACAAGAGCCATGTCAACATGGCCATCCCCCGCCGAATGTGTTTGCTCATTGGAAGAATGTATATGTAGTAGAGCGGAATAATTCCATTTTAAGAGGTCTTTTGGTAATGAAAACTGATGGCTATAGTGATTACAGATTTGAAACCTATGTGAATACTGATGGCTGAAAATAACAAAGGGCAATTACTGAAAAATAATGCAGGGTAGGTTATCATTCTTGTGTGCTGCATCCCTTCTCAGTAAAATCTATCCACCTATGAAGTTTCAAGTTGATACCTCAAATACTTTTTGAGAAAAAAATTGAATTGAAAAATTAAGTATGAAAAAGAACAAAGGGCAATAACACAACAATTATAAAAGGTAGAGTTATCATACTTGTGCAGTGCACACCTCCTGAGTGAGATCTATGCACCTATGAAGTTTCATTTTGATATCTCAAAGGCTTTTTGAGTTATGCTCTGGACAAAAATTAATTTTGAAAGTTAACAAAGGGCAATAACTCAAAAATAATGCAGGGTAGAGTTATCATTCTTAAGCACTGCACTCCTCCTCAATGAGATCCATCCATCTTTGAAGTTTCAAGTTGATACCTCAAATACTTTTTCAGATAAGCTCTGGACAAAATAGCATGAAAAAAAACAAAGGGCAATAACTCAAAAATTGTATAGGGAAGAGTTATCATTCTTGCGCACAACATTCCTCCTCAATAAGATCTATCCACCTATGACATTTCATGTTGATATCTCAAACACTTTTTGAGTTATGCTCCACTCAGGTGAAAAATTAGGTATGAAAAATAACAAAGGGCAATAACTCAAAAATTATGAAAGGTAGAGTTATCATTCTTGTGCACTGCACTCCTCCTCAATGAGATCCATCCACCTATGAAGTTTCAAGTTGATACCTCAAATACTTTTTGAGATAAAGTCTGGACAAAATAGAATGAAAAATAACAAAGGGCAATAACTCAAAAATTATGCAGGGTAGAGTTATCATTCTTGTGCACTGCACTCCTCCTCAATGAGATCCATCCACCTATGAAGTTTCAAGTTGATACCTCAAATACTTTTTCAGATAAGCTCTGGACAAAATAGCATGAAAAAAAACAAAGGGCAATAACTCAAAAATTGTATAGGGAAGAGTTATCATTCTTGCGCACAACATTCCTCCTCAATAAGATCTATCCACCTATGACATTTCATGTTGATATCTCAAACACTTTTTGAGTTATGCTCCACTCAGGTGAAAAATTAGGTATGAAAAATAACAAAGGGCAATAACTCAAAAATTATGAAAGGTAGAGTTATCATTCTTGTGCACTGCACACCTCCTGAGTGAGATATATGCACCTATGAAGTTTCATGTTAATATCTCATAGGCTTTTGGAGTTATGCTCTGGACAAAAATCAATTTTGAAAAATAACAAAGGGCAATAACTCAAAAATCATGCAAGGTAGAGTTATCATTCTTGTGCACTGCACTCCTCCTCAATGAGGTCTATCCACCTATGAAGTTTCAAGTTGATAACTCAAATACTTTTAGAGATATGCTCCGGACAAAAATGTTGGACGGAAGGACGGACGGAAGGTCGGACGGACGGAGACTATTTCTATATCCTCCGCCGAAATTTTTCGGAGGGGGATAATAAAATTCAATGAGGTATGAAAGGTTAACAACATGTTCTATGAAAATATTTCTAAATTTTGGGGAGCATATTAAACAGCTTTGTCTATTATCTTAATTTAACAATGACAAAAAAACTTCAATAAAACTATGCTTTAAATAAATTAAGAGTACTATGAAACTGTATCAAAAAATGCTTCTCAAATGTTATATATCTAAGTTAAGTAATCATTCAAAATGCACTCACTGTGAACAAAAATATTAAAACTCAAATACAAGGAGCATTATTATAAAAATGCATTTCTATTTTATTATGCAACAAAAATTCAATCTATGGTATATTTTTTCTATCAAAAGCATAGAATTCCCACAGTAAAATACCTTCATCTTCCCCGTCATCGTCTTCAGCATCATCATCTTCTTCTTCTTCATCTCCCTCATCATCATCATCAGTTACATCTTCCTCTATTTCTTCCTCATCTTCAACCAGTTCGTCTTTTATTCCAGTACCATCTAATTCTTTATCCATTTCATTAAGTTATACTTAATTTATGTAAGAAAAGTCTGAAAAATAAATTGTTTCAATATAGAAGTTACATATAAAGTAACAGTCTTCTATTAAATTAAATTTTAGAAGTTTGTTGTACATAATCAATTTAAGTGTTTACTTGCCTATATTATCTAACCTTATTTTCATGTTTTTTTTCTTGTTACAATAAAAACTGAAGCTTTATACAGTTTGTGATTGAGTCATCATCTTTTTCTGGAGGCCTCATACTTCTTTAATATATAATTTGCTAAACATACTTGTAAGAAAAGCTATTTTGCAGAGTATTTTACTGTGTATGACAGTGAGTAAATAATTTATAATTTATCTATCCCAACTTCCGTAAAAATGTTCATGCACAGAATTTACAAGCAGAAAAAACTCCCTATTTTATATGATATTTGATAGCAATTTATAAATAATTCCTTTAATTATTCTAGAACATATATTTTGGTTTAAAATTTTTTCACATGATCAGTTATGTTTACTTGCAATTTTATTTGTAGAACTGTTGCAAAAAAGTTAACAATTATGATAGACCAGTTGATCTGTTATATATATATATCACCTGTAGCCTGCTATATATTTCTATAATGGATCTGTCTCGCTTCGAATTTGAAACAGTCCCTTCAAAGTTCAAGGGATTTCAATATCAAAATACAAAAGCTACCAACAATATAGAGTCTGGTCAGACTGCACAAATGTGCAGGCTGGTCTGGCTCTATACTGGTGACAAAGGCTGATTGCTTTTGGTTCCAACATGTTAAGGGTTAATACATATGTTTGCAGTAGAAAGCTAAAAAATTTGATTCATGATTGTCAGTCCATAATTTGGCATAAACTACTTAAACTGTTAGTCCAGTATTTGCTATTTGTATCATAGACTATTTCATTTAGCAGACATATTATGATGTCATCATATGAAAATCAATTCAATGTTAACTTTAAAAGTTTTAATAAATGCAGGGCTCGACAGAACACTCGTCCGCTCGTAAATACAAGTAAAAATTGACTCCGGACAAGTAAATCTCCCGGAAATGCTAGTCCTGCAGGACGAGTTAAATTTCTAGCAGAAAATAATCAAATTTCAATTAAATTCAATTCTTTTAACCATTTTTCAAGTTTCACTAGTAAAACAGTGCCCGTGTGTTTGATGGGCAAAACAGATAATGATTTGTTGAATGCATAGCTAAATTCTGTCTGATTCCGTTCTGTTAAATATACTAAAAGCTTGTGCGGCGATTCCAGTATGTTCCACAAACAACGTTCTTTAGATAATACAAAAATTTTATCACAAAATATTTTAAAATATCACAATGCAATGTTCGGCAAATGTTTGGCCAGGGAGGTGAAAAATAAACAATGTCTTCAAAAAAGAAAAATGAGTCAGAACATGTAAGAAATCTATATCTTTAAAGCATTGTTGTTGTGGTTTTTCGTTTTTCAATCCCTGATAAGGACATTATTGAAAGGTAGGTTATTTTCATTTGAATTATCTATCTGTTTACCAGAATGGAAAGATCATATGTAGTTATAAATGTGATCTTCTCCCTTTTCTATACATTCTGTACAGTCTTGTCCAATCTTTCATTTGGTCTTTGGAGTGGGTGGGGGTGCAATATAAAACTGCCTAGGCTAGGGAGGGCTATCATCGTTTTTTTTAACTTGTGCATCTTTAAGGGTCATCTAATCTACTTGTGGCCTTTAGTGAACTATGGGACGAGTACATATTGCAGCAGGACGAGTAAAAATTCTAAGCTACTCGCCCTGCAGGACGAGTTGCTCCCAAAAAATTTGTCGAGCCCTGAAATGAATATGTCCAGATCATCAAATAATAGTGACAAAATAAAGACTATAAAATTTCCTTTAACTGAATCAATTGAAATGAACGACGTAGATCTGAGAGAGACCATTATAAAAAAGTGGGAAGCTGTTCGCCAGTCTCCAATATTTGCAGGTCTAGAGAACAGATAGTTAGAGGGGTAATGTTTACATATTTTTTTTATGCACCAGTTACAAATAAAGAAGGCAGATTTAAAACAGTTTTACCAGTTGCGAGGGAAATGAAGTGGGATTATGACCTTTCAGTCCTTTATTTGGAATGAAATCATGGAAAATACATTGCCCGTCCAAAACAATCTGTATGTCTCTTTGACAAGTCCAATTATTTGGACTATCCAAAACTGGATAAAGGGCAAGCTTTTATTTTCAAAAATAGAAAACCTGCTATTAACTTATGCATTACAAAATCATTTCAAGTAATTTCATATCATCTGTTACAAGATTTGATCTTTTTTCTGTATCAAAAATCAGAGATGATTGCAAATTAAAATGAGATATTAAAATTATCAAACAAAAAATGTTAAGACAGACTTGTGCTTTCTTGTGCACTTCGTTTTATAACAATCTCCCCTGCCCGTGCAAGATGTGTTCCAAAAGCAGTGAAGCGGAACTAAAAGGTACTAATTACCAATGTATTGGCTAAATGAAGCAAGGATTCAATTTCATTTTAACAATCTATCGGCAAGATTTCATGCAACTTGTAAATTTCGGCATTTTGTCCGCCATGTTTGACAAGCAGTGCCCGGATGAAGCGGTGCGTTTTTTCTTATTTCTTGTGAAATTCGCTATTTAGATGTACACGTCTAAAACTTGACTACAGTATGCTGTCGACTTCATAATGTAATCTAATTAATTAGGCATGAACAGCTTGATTCATGTGCGGGTGCGTGCGTGTGTGTATGCGTGCGTGCGTGTTACTGTATATAGGTACATAATGTATAAAAATACGGACCACAGACATGTCCCATAAAAAGTTTATTTTGAATCACAATTAAAATGAGGGCATAATCACAGAACTACATAATTAAACCCTGCCTTTTAAGTCTCTGGTATGATTTACATCTATGCAAATTTCAACAGAGTATTAGCCAAAGAGATGTTTTTTTAAACCGGAAAATAGGTTAGTGTATACTGTAGCAGCCAGTCACTGATTTAGACATACATATAAGTACAAATTAAGGATAATTTGCATCTAGACATGTTTACGCGTCTTGTATGCAGCGGCCTGTGAGATCTAGAACGTACAGTAATCAGTGACAATAATGGGAATTTAGTCCATATAAAGGTTTTAATGTCAGCACAGACCGTCACTTCGCATTTGAGCCTTGCTGGCACTTTTATCAAGCCCGAAGGTAACCCCGTTAATTGCCTCCGTCACATGACTAATTAATTAATGATCTATGTTGTTGCAAAAATAATAATGAAAATAAAAAGATAAAGTGTCAGGGTTCCATCCCTCAACAGTCTTAAAATAATATGGGCAAGTGAATTCAAGTATTATAAGTTAACATAGTATTAACATTATGTAAAACACGTCAAAGTCAAGGAAAATTATCAAAACAATAATTTTAAGTTATGAATTTGATTAGACCTAAACTTTACTGAGGACGGTAAATCATGCATGAGCCTAAAACACACTTAAATCGACCATACGGATTGAACCTATATTACCAGCCCCACCCCGCCTGTTTTTATTGTATTTTTGGGACTTTTGATAATGTCAATTTCTTGACCAACATGCAGGCCCGGGCCTACATGGCCTAATAGTATTTACGTCACTGGCAGTGTAAATTGCTTTCTTTTTTCGTTCCTTAATTGTTTATTCGTCAATTCGTTAGTTTACGTTCTTTCATTCCTTCTTTCGTTCGTTCATTCGTGTGTTTTTTTCTTACAGTCTCCCCACAGATTGACAATAAGACAATCATTTCAGAAGTTGGAGCTTTTATATACATGTACTTAGTCACAACATACATCTGGGCAAACAAATTGAATTAACCCAAAATGACTGACAAATAAGTACATGTCAGTTATTCCAAATTCAAGATATTTCACAATCATTTTCTCTTCTTATTAACAGATCTGGGAATGAGACAATAGACAAGATAGCCAATCGTGCGGATTGAAATATAAGCTTCGTAAGACACTGCTGGTTTTCCTGAGATGATGATTCTGTTATTTAATTGACCAACTCGTACAAACAAAACCAAGGAACTGCCTACAATGATAGATTATAAATATACGTACGACGACTTTACTTGTAATAGTCTTGAACCTTATTTGCCTCTACATGTTATTAAGAATCATTAATTAATATTTTCATCTGAACAGATTTTATCATTTTAAATTATACCATGCAATTATGCAAAGCATGTAGTTCAAATCCATTAAAGATTATTTGAACTACTGAAGTGGTCTGGTATTTAACCAACATGTACACAATATGTATTTGGATGATATAACATGTACACAAAATCTTGTAACCCTTATACCCAATGGGGCCTTTGTGCGCAAGTCTAGTCAGGGTCTATACTGTTGCTGACTGTAAGTCACTGTACACTGTAAGTAGTAATGATGGTAGTTTAACCTCGGGATCACTGCATAAGTAACTTTCAATTCACCACAGTGCACAATGACAGTAGTTTACCCTCGGGACCACTGCAGTAACCAACTTTGAAATTCACCAGTGCAAACATGACAGTAGTTTACCCTCGGGACCACTGCAGTAACCAACTTTTGAATTCACCAAGTGCACATGACAGTAGTTTTTACCCTCGGGATCACTGCAGTAACCAACTTTGAATTCACCAGTGCACATGTCAGTAGTTTACCCTCGGACCACTGCAGTAAACCAACTTTGAATTCACCAGTTGCACATGACAGTAGTTTACCCCGGGACCACTGCAGTCACCAACTTTGAATTCACCAGTGCACATGACAGTAGTTTACCCTCGGGATCACTGCAGTAAATAACTTTGAATTCACCAGTGCACAAGTCAGTAGTTAACCCTCGGGATCACTGCAGTAAATAACTTTCACTTCACCAGTGCACATGTCAGTAGTTTATCCCCGGGACCACTGCAGTAACCAACTTTGAATTCACCAGTGCACATGACAGTAGTTTACCCTCGGGATCACTGCAGTAAATAACTTTGAATTCACCAGTGCACAGGTCAGTAGTTAACCCTCGGGATCACTGCAGTAAATAACTTTTAATTCACCAGTGCACATGTCAGTACTTTATCCCGGGACCACTGCAGTAACCAACTTTGAATTCACCAGTGCACATGACAGTAGTTTACCCTCGGGATCACTGCAGTAACCAACTTTGAATTCACCAGTGCACATGTCAGTAGTTTACCCCCGAGACCACTGCAGTAACCAACTTTGAATTCACCAGTGCACAAGTCAGTAGTTTACCCTCGGGGCCACTGCAGTAACCAACTTTGAATTCACCAGTGCACATGTCAGTAGTTTACCCCCCGGGACCACTGCAGTAACCAACTTTGAATTCACCAGTGCACATGACAGTAGTTTTACCCTCGGGATCACTGCAGTAAATAACTTTGAATTCACCAGTGCACAGGTCAGTAGTTAACCCTCGGGATCACTGCAGTAAATAACTTTCAATTCACCAGTGCACATGTCAGTAGTTTATCCACGGGACCACTGCAGTAACCAACTTTGAATTCACCAGTGCAAATGACAGTAGTTTACCCTCGGGGGATCACTGCAGTAAATAACTTTGAATTCACCAGTGTACAGGTCAGTAGTTAACCCTCGGTATCACTGCAGTAAATAACTTTCAATTCACCAGTGCACATGTCAGTAGTTTATCCCCGGGACCACTGCAGTAACCAACTTTGATTTCACCAGTGCACATGACAGTAGTTTACCCTCGGGATCACTGCAGTAAATAACTTTGAATTCACCAGTGCACATGACAGTTGTTTACCCTCGGGATCACTGCAGTAAATAACTTTGAATTCACCAGTGCACATGACAGTAGTTTACCATCGGGATCACTGCAGTAAATAACTTTCAATTCACCAGTGCACATGACAGTAGTTTACCCTCGGGATCACTGCAGTAAATAACTTTCAATTCATCAGTGCACAGGTCAGAAGTTAACCCTCGGGACCACTGCAGTAAGCAACTTTCAATTCACCAGTGCACAGGTCAGTAGTTTACCCTTGGGACCAACGCAGTTACCAATTTGAATTAACCAGTGTATAGGTCAGTAGTTTACCCTCGGGATCACTGCAGTAAGCAACTTTGAATTCACCAGTGCACAGGTCAGTAGTTTACCCTCGGGACCACTGCAGAAAGCAACTTTCAATTCATCAGTGCACATGTCAGAGTTTACACTCGGGATATCACTACAGTACGCAATTTAAATTCACCCGTGCACAAATCTGTAGTTTACCCTCGGGATCATTGTAGTAAGCAACCTTGAATTAACCGTGCACAAGTCAGTAGTTTACCCTCGGGATCACTGCAGTAAGCAACTTTCAATTCACCAGTGCACAAGTCAGTAGTTTAACCTCGGGATCACTGCAGTAGGCAACTTTCAATTCACCAGTGCACAAGTCAGTAGTTTACCCTCGGGATCACTGCAGTAACCAACTTTCAATTCACCAGTGCACATGTCAGTAGTTTAACCTCGGGATCACTGCAGTAAGCAACTTTCAATTCACCAGTGCACATGTCAGTAGTTTACCCTCGGGATCACTGCAGTAAGTAACTTTCAATTCACCAGTGCACATGACAGTAGTTTACCCTCGGGACCACTGCAGTAAGCAACTTTCAATTCACCGGTGCACAAGTCAGTAGTTTACCCTCGGGATCACTGCAGTAAGCAACTTTCAATTCACCAGTGCACATGTCAGTAGTTTAACCTCGGGATCACTGCAGTAAGTAACTTTCAATTCACCAGTGCAAAAGTCAGTAAGTTTACCGTCGGGATCACTGCAGTAAGCAACTTTCAATTCACCAGTGCACATGTCAGTAGTTTACCCTCGGGATCACTGCAGTAAGTAACTTTCAATTCACCAGTGCACATGTCATTAGTTTACCCTCGGATCACTGCAGTAAGTAACTTTCAATTCACCAGTGCATAAGTCAGTAGTTTACCCTCGGGATCACTGCAGTAAGCAACTTTCAATTCACCAGTGCACATGTCAGTAGTTTAACATCGGGATCACTGCAGTAGGCAACTTTCAATTCACCAGTGCACATGTCAGTAGTTTACCCTCGGGATCAACACTGTGCTCAACTTTGAATTCACCAGTGCACAGGTCAGCCACAACATCGATATCGTTCCTGGACAAGCTGAAAAGTAGTTTACCGGTATATGGTCTAGTACGTGCCTTCACTTTTGCACGAAACTGACATGACGCGAATGATCGTAGAAAGGATCAAGACCTGAACCGTCCAGAAACCGAACTCGGGTTGCCCAATTCACAGTCCAACCTACCAATTGAGCTTACCGGATTTAAGGGTTAAGGGTGAAACATATATATATGTACTGCTATATACTACTAGACACGCACGCTGTTTATATGGTTGTTATAGACAATAACTAAACTTTTTGATTAAAACAAAAATAATTGATACATATAAATCTCTTAAGAATTCCTAGTAACTATTTCATAATATTTAAAATGAATGCTTTTTAAAATGATGAAACTGCATGTTATTTACATCAATGTTTTCTTAAATATATCAAGCATTTGCTTCTTCATTATGTCAATCCAGTTTATCCCCCTTTAATTCAAAAAAATTGTGGGGTTTTTTTTTAGTTTTCATTTTTTTCTTTTTTTGAAAATCACTTTTACAAGTGGAATGGAATTTTTTAAAACCTTGTCGCCGTGTTGGAAGGTAAAATCAATTTTTATAACATTAGCGTTGACGTTGTAAAATCCGTTTTCGAACAATAGTAATATATTGATTGAATTATCATAAGATTAAATAGAGTTAAAAACAGCCTTTTAACTTTATTGAGTACTTTACTCAAAACCCTATATTTGGTACAGAAAAGAAGAAAGAAGTAAACCCATTAAAAATGTATTTATAAAACGATATTAATTTGAAATATATAACCCGATCAGAACGGTTTATAATACTAAAAAGATTTTGACAGGTTATATGGCCCTATACAAAAAAGGCCCCCCTGTTTGGAAATATAACCCTCACCTTGCGGCTCGGGTTATATTGCATCCAATCGTTTATATACGAAGCTATTTTGGATGGAGTAGTGGTGGTTCGAACTGGTGAATGTAGGGTTTGGAGAATGACAATGAAGTGATATTTGAGGTATATATGGGGCTTGATGGCGAGGTAAAAATAAAGGACACACCAATTAACTGATGTGAAACTGTCCCGTGAGGATGACAGTATTTCATATCGAGTAGCATATCCATATATATATAACACTACTCAAGGTCTTATCTCAACTGTAATCTGTTTAAACCTTTTATGTTCATATGTCGCTTCAACTACAAAAATATCTCTTTGACAAGATATTGATATATAGAGAGTGAGAATGATTAATGCACAATACAAACATTTTTTATAACAATGTGATTTAAATGCGGAATGAAACTCAAAACCCGCTTCTTTCATCTAGAAATTGCCCATTGAATCTGACGGTTTACACATACTCCGTTTATAATCGAGAATTCCATTGATTGTTGAATCTAACCATGGTAAAAAGTGACAATTAAATGGTTTTCAAACATATTGAAAGTACAAACTCGTGACAGCTTGAATATCCTCTTTTAATTGCGGTAATAAATTGTCGGCCCCGGGAGAGCCGTATATAGCTTCACCATTCGTGTGATAACCTTTTTCACATCAATTCAAATACATATGATAAATTTCGAAAAGGAATTAACAGTAACTGTGAAAATAAATAAAGATAAAAGTTGTGTAATGTATACAACGTTCATATATTAAATATTTGTTTTCTTCAAATGATATTTTGAATTTTATTGGAGTTGTTATTGCGTTGTGCGCGAGATGAGTGGGTTATAACTAAATAGGTAAGACTTCGTTGTAATTTCTCGTTACTTTAAATTAATCGATGTATTTAGGTATCAAATGGGGGGGGGGGGGTCACAATCTTTTCCAGATGGAATTGTTTCAAAACCTTAAACTCATTATTAATTTGGTGTTTTATTTAAATCTTAATTACGAAACGTTTCCTAAAATTTAGGTATCAATGAAAAGTTAATAATTAGATCTATATAAGACCACAGTGATTACAAGTACAAAATGAAAAATCAACGTCACGTTCAAAGAGAGTCACAGTCTTCAAATCTGAGTAAAACTTCGGTATAACTCCTTTCTTTCCGTGTTTCATTAAAATAAAGGAACATTTCCAACAACAACAAAAATCGTCAATTCAACGCAGTCCAAATAAATGTTAGAAATGAAAAATCACAGTGTTTTCAATGACTTATAAATTTGTATTGTTTAAATATACACAAAGACAAACGATGTTTCAAGTTTACTTAAATAATACAAAAAGGTCGAACCGTTAGTTTTTTTTACAATATTATCGTGGGCCGACCCTCGAAAAATGTGATCATTTTTTGTTTGTGTGTTTTTTGTTGTTGTTTTTTTGTTGTTGTTTTTTTGTGTGAAAATCAAAGACCTTCCCTCGATTTCAAACACATGTTTAACAGTATTTATCTTCATTAAAAGATCTACATTTGGCCAATTTATAACATTATTATGTGTGTCAATATCAAGGTTACACTTTTTGGTAATTCAAACTATCTTATAACCTTGTAGGAGTGTAAATTGGCCATAGTTCAGATGTCAAATAAAATGTGTCACGTTAAATGAAAAGAATATGTTTAGAAAGCATTCTACCAACATTAAAATGATCATGTTTACTTTTGTTTCTTTAAAGCTGCATGTCCCCGGATGAGCCGAAATATTTCAAGAAAATTAAATTTGAGAAAAATGTGCTAAAATTTTAAGAAAAGTAAAATGTTTCAAGATTCAAGTAATGATTTAAATGTTATATGCGATAAATGGCTGTTTTTTGGTATTTATCACCATATTTCTACTGCGTTACTTGCTCAGTAAGGGGTAATTTTGCTTATTTTGACATCTTTTTGGTAGTCTATCTGGATTGCAAGAGCTGTTTACAAGGTGTAAATTATTTTCTTTGTTCACTTCACAATATTTTACTTTTAAATACAATTTAAAAATTTTCATGGAAATTAGCATGAATCTTGAGGCATGCTGCTTTAATACATAACTCTCATGCACATTTCAATGATTTTGATAATGCCCTAAATCAGACATTTTGTCATGTATGATGTCTATCAAAAGTTCTCGTGCTGATTAACACAATTACACGAAAGACTGGTTCATAAAAACATTATAATGGATTTTCAAAAGAATTCTTTAAGGAGAAACTTTAAAATTGGAGCGCGGATGAATAGCAGATAAATAACTTTTGTTTGTTAAGCGGTACGCCTTCAAATTATATTCAGAATTTCGTTAGATTAATTTGATTTTTACCATGCATGCGTATTCACGAGTTCAGACGGTATTGAATTAACATATTATACAAAAGGATTACAAAATTGTCGTATGTACGACATCCATTCTTTATCAAATATCACCGAAAGTTATCGATATTTTCTTGTTTGCGAAATGGATTTTTGCACTATTATTGCGGCATTTAAAAATTCTGTTTTTTTTAAAAAAGGCCCTTAATTTATTTTATTTTTTATTTCGAAAAAGGGTGGTTTATTAAAGCTAGGCCAGTTGGGACAGTAGGGAGAAGATAAATATTTTGTGGTTGTGAAAGGCATATTGTTACGGCGTTTCCAAGGCAAAACATGTTTTTTACAGCATTTTTTGTACCATGCATTGATTTCCTCTATTTGCATAATGAACATGCCCTATTTTGAATTTGGATAAGTCCAATTATTATCTTAAAGACGTTTGTATACTTACCCTGGTTATAGTATAGCTGTAGAGAGTAACCTGATTCTGAAGTGATGGATTAGGCAAAAATCTATGGTACGTTTCAATCTCATTATTATTATTATTATTCTTTTTTGTATTTATTTACATTTCTTACATAGTCGTGAACATATTTTGTCGTGACGTCATTTGCGTTACAGTATATAAACAGCGTAAAGACTCACAGAATGTTAACGTGACACGGTAAGCGCGTCAATGCAAAAATATTTCATTTTACTGTAAACTGTTCTTATTTTGGATTTATGATAATAAGAATATTCTAATTCGTGTATGTTCATTAAACTTATCAAATAGCCGTAGCCTCGCAGAATGAAATTTTATTCAATTCGTTCAGTAAATTCAGTATTGAACTTATAAGTACATTCTTTCAATATCATCTTGTTTAATTCATTGTAATAATAATAATAATAATTAATAATAATAATAATAATAATAATAATAATAAATAATAATAATAATAAAATCAACAACAAACAATAATAATAATAAGTATTTAATGCAGCTGGGCTATGACCTAGATGTTTAAGCGTCTGCCTTTTAACCATTCATCCCCTAATAGGGTCACGGCTCGGCTAGATATGAGTGCTTTTCAGCTCTCGGAATCGAAGTAGAGAGTGATTCAAATGAATTTGAAAGCTTTCACCGTAACCGAGCTGAAATAAACACATGAACTATAGCTAGACACATAGATGGGGTCTTTAAACTTGTCACAATAAAACCGCGCCATTAACTGTCTTTTATGTTACAAAACATGCATTTGAAGTGACTTGAGGATTTGGGAAATTCATATGGTGTCTTACATAGGAACTCTGGAACAGGACCGCATATTGCGGCGCATAAATCCGAATCCGTACCGGCTTTACATATTGTTTGTCCGACCTTTGAATATCTTTTCATATTATGCGAGTGGGTGGTCTTTAATTATCTAATCTCAATTTCAATATAATCTGCTAATTTAAAAATCAGTCAAATTTACGGTATATTGAAAAAAGAAAAGGAGTGACATCCGCCATTTGCCGCAACGTTCGGCGTAAGTTATTCCCCTTGATATGCTTGATTTTTGTTTTTTAATTTTTTTTAGGTAATGAATACCAGATGAGTGCCTAAAATATTTATCTATGGATCTGTATGTTTTAATATTCCCTTTTTCAGTTAGGCAAATCAGTTGGAACCATATTACAAAAGTGTCTGTTTTCTCCATGTTAACAAATCAAAACACGAATACTCCCGTTATAATGCCGCCTATACATGTCAACACGTATAAACAATAAACCGTTAACGTTATATCCGGACGATACCTGATAGTTGACAAAAATAACGGGAACAAAATTCTGAAAAAATAGTAATCAATTGTAGCCAAAGGGGATAAACTCATGCCGAAAACGTTGCGGCAAATGGCGGATGTCACTCCTTGTCTTTTTTATAATACCGTAAAATTTGACCAGTTTTAAAAGAGACAGATTGGGTTCAATTGATAATATATTTTTTGAGTCCATACACTCGGATAATACTAAAAGATATTTAGATGTAGCAGAAACGTTTTTAATCAAAGGGCTGCAAGCTCTGTGGTATTTTCTGATCTTTGCAATCTAAATCGTACTGTATATCTGTATGTGTTTTCATGTATAAGTTTATTTTTATGTACTATAATTCATCTTGCAGGGCACCAGAGTTTGATACATACGGAATTTTGCATAACTAGAGTTGCATCAAAAAAATCATTTATGTTCATTTTTTTATGATAGCCACACTTTATCCTTGCATATCGTGGCTATTTCCTTAACAAAGACACTAAAAAAAGAATTTAAAAAAATGTTGACTCGACTGGGATTGAACTCCAGACCTCTCACTCACAAAACGAGCGCGTAACCCCTGCACCACGGAGAAGTTTTTAAAACAAAGGCTGAATAAAATCAAGTCATTCTAAATTAGAATTTCCATTGCATTTCGGGTAAGGGTAAATTCGAGGTATTTTGTTCAGGGTAATCCTGTTGTTTAAAATTGAAGTAAATAATTTAGCAAAAATCTCCTCGCCCAAACAGTCCAACATGTAGAAACTATATATTCAACAACTCGGCAGTCAGATTTATTTGTGTAGTACTTGGTAATCGACATCGCTAAAAAATAGCATTTTCATTGATTAAAAATCATATTCATCCGCGTAATTTGTGAGTGGTGCATTTATTGACAATTTTATAAGCAACGCTACTTTTAAAGTTTGAATGTGTAGTAATTTGTTGGAACTTGTAACAAAAAATTGTTTTTTCTTTTAAATTGCTGGTTTTGAGTGAGAACTACTTTGCGTTGTTAGTTCTGTAAGGAAATTTTTGTGTTAGACCGTGGGATGTTCGCTATGTATTTTTTACTGATCTGCGATGCAGAAAAAATACAAAAAAACCGTTACATGATCGAAAATATGCGCCGCAATCTACGGTCCCGTTCTCGAGTTCCTATGGGTGTCTTACTAACAAATCGAAACAAAAAATATAATTTGTAAAAAAAAGTAAAAAAAGTAAATGGATTTTAATAAAGTTCGCCGAGCTAAGTGTTTAGTTAATTGCATGTCGGCGCCAGTGAGTGATGGATCAATTGCAGTCACTTCCGGTAGGAATAGACAGATATCACTTGAAAATAACTTCACCGGAAACTAGCGCGTTCTCTGATTTTAATTAAAACGGGCAAAATCAATCCGAGGCAATAGTTTGACATTGATTTTTCCTTCAATTTAATGAATTAATGCTATGCAGTTACCTTAGCGGAATTTTATTACCTGTAAAATTCGAACATATTTTATATCGCAGTTTATATCGCCTTTTAAATTGAATTAGCTATTATTGAAATGGGACAAAACATGAAGGGGAATGTTTTCCTATATAAATGACATTTTCAGGTCAATATACAGCCATCTTGACAAATGCTTTGCAAAAATCTTCTTTGGTACAATTTTCTTTGGTTTACGAAGCATTATGTAGATTTTGACAATTAAAGTGGGATGACGAGGAAGGTGCGTGAGCTTTGGCTTATACTCCGTGGA